GGCCCTTACTCAGCTTCACTGTCAGGTTCACTCTCCAGCGCTATGCTTCTCCATAACTCGCCCCACCTCATGGCGGCAGCCAGTGCTGCACTGAGATTCACATACTTTGGTAAACCATCAAATCTATTGTGACATCACTTCCGGGTCATGGTTCATGAGTAGGGTGACCCTTCACCTCCTGAAGTGTAATAATAGAGAATGTTAATAATTCCATATGCAGTAAACTCTGTGAATTAGGAACGTATTGGGTGATTTATTGGGTGATTTTTTTGAGTACAAAAGAAACGTATGAATTTCCCCTCATGGCAATAGCATACTCACTTACATCTCACTTACATATGTGTACAAATCTGAGTGCCGAAATATATTTTCATCCTGAAGTTTTACATATGGCTGAAAATGGTCTGAAATATGACACTCTCACCTGATCGAAGCATCTGATCACTTTATTGCTTTCTACAAGATAAATAAATATTACTGTGCAAAACCCCAAATATCACTGGTCACAACCACTTACCTCAAACATCGCCAGCAGTGGAAAGCCGGGATTTGCTACCCTGCGTCTGCCAGAGAAGGTCACCTGAATTATTTACGCAGACTCAATGGGGCCCCCGGAGCCCCAAACTCCCAAGAGCGGGAAGAGAGAGTGAATCAGTAAATCAGACTCACATCCACTTTGGTCCTGTGAGGGTGAATCAGTGAATCAGACTCACATCCACTTTGGTCCAGTGAGAGTGAATCAGTGAATCAGACTCCCACCCTCTTTGCCACTGTGAGAGTGAATCAGTGAATCAGACTCACATCCACTTTGCCACTACAGGAGTGAAGCGGTGAATCAGACTCCCGTCCTCTCTGCAGGACTGATTCATGAGGACATACGGCATTACCACAGTGAGGAGAGCTGGTCTTTACTTCAGAGCTTGGCTCTGGATTGCTAACAGGGTTGGGGGCTTAGGCTAAAAGCATGCGTTGATTGATCGCAATGAAGTTTCCAAAAAGAGACAAGGACTTACTTCGAGATGGCAGACTATTATTCCACTAGGCACGTCTCTCTCTGTCTCTCCCTCTCCCTCTCCCTCTCCGTCTCTCTCTCTCTCTCTCTCTGTCTCTCTCTCTCTCCCTCCCTCTCTCTCTCTCTCTCTCTCTCTCTCTCTCTCTCTCTCCCTCCCTCTGTCTCTCTCTCTTTCTCTCTCTCCCTGTCTCTCTCTCTCTGTCCCTCTCTCTCCGTCTCTCTTTCTCTCTCTTTTTCTCCCTCTCTCTCTCTCGCCCTTTTGTCTTATAAAAGGAAGTTTCAAGAAAAAAAAGAAATCCTTTCTCCCCCCACCACCCTCCTCAAGGTGCGTCGACCCCCTTAAAAGAGAAGCGAGTGACTTCACTAACGGCTTTATCACGCCCTCCTGAGGCAAGATAAGCACGGCTTTCACATGCGTCGGGGACAGACCTGGAGAGAGCTGCAGGTGTTTGACTAATCCTGTGTGCTTGTTTGCATAGCTCAGCAGCCAGGAACCTGGAGGCAAAACCTCCTCATTACACTCAAATGCAACAAAAAACACTCTACTGAACAGCTTATATTTAATAGCAATGCATGTATAAATAACTTCATATCATTTTTTGTATTGCATTGCATTTTGTGTTACATGTGTTTGTTAATATTAAGTGATAGTGTCTGTGTTTTTCTCTGTAATTAGGCTGGCTTTATTAACCACTTTTGCCTGTTCTCCTGATACCTGTGCCAGGTCACAGTACACCTGGTCAGCTGATCTGAGTGCTGGATCTACCGCCAACATTTCTTAGAAAGACAGATATGCAGATATACATGTATACATCACATATAAATATATAAATGTATTACTAATGATTAAAAATGACTTTTTAAGGTGTTTACACTATTTTTTGCAACACCAAAAACAAAGAACTACTGATATAACCTGCGGAACTATACGGTCAGGAAGAAGCTGGTTCCACAGGCCTCTCCCCTGTTCTCCCATAGACTGACGGAATAAGTAAATGAACGAACCTGAGCTCCCATTTGAGCCTGTTCCTTGCTTTTTACTGAGCCTCCCTTCCCTCTCCCACCATCAGCAATTACATTGAAAAAATTATGAATGACCCTTTTTTCAGGCCACAGGCACTCACTGCAGCTCTTAATGAGTGCTACCTGCGTATTTACCTATTCATGGGATCTGATGTAGTTGCACTTGTTATCGAACTAATGCACTTCCCCGCTTTGAATTAAAAGCATCCACTAAATGACTGAAACGGCGAAATGTAAATACAATCCCCACCCCCCCCCCCCCACCCCGCACTCCCGATCCCGATATTGCCATTTATTAATCAAGCAATTGCAGGCGAATTGTGTTCTTGGCGACGAGACGAAACAAAAGCGCTGCTTTTCGGGTTTTCAAAGTGGAATTTCAATGCTCACCGCGGCGCCTTCATCATTGCTTTGTAGTCAGCCTGGCCGCCATCCAGCATCCCCACGCTCGCAGGCTGCCCCCACCCCCCCCATCCAGGAGGGGACCCATGGGTGAGCCCAGATGAATTATTGAACACAAATCCCTTTGGACAGCAGTCAGAGTGATCTGCTTGATTCGACGTTCCCGGTTTTGTCCCCCTGCTATCCCCCAACCCCCCCCCCCCCCCCCGCCCCCCCCGCCAGGCTGAGACCCATCAATTATATAGGGGTTTTTTGCCAAACACATCAGCATGATGACAAACAGCGAAGGACAACATATTGAGAAACGATGTTCAGGAATCACAGATGTCCGTGTTCTAGAAATGGTCCTTCATTCACAAAATGAGGGTGTATGTATCAACAGAACGAGATGTCACCAGAGCAACAGAGAGTTCAGCTTCTTTGTTTAGCTCTAAAGAAAAGTGGACTTTTTTTTCTCTTGAACTACATGGACTTCTCAGACAAGCATGTCTAATTTGTTATGAATATCTCCACCCCTCCCCCCACCCTTGTTGTGTTGAGATCTGAAATGCTTTCTGTGACCTTTCATAGCCACATAGATTTTTTTTTTTTTTTTTAAATGCCATTTTCTGTTGTTTTTCTATGCTAGCTCCGGGTCTAGACATCCTATTGCGAAGGTTTCCTAACTTCCATTCAGTCTATGACTCTGGCCTTCATATCCACTGTCTTCGTGGTCTGGGGGGAGGGGTCGGGTGGGGGTTGGGGGGAGGGGTCAGGTGGGGGTTGGGGGTTCTGTCAAAGCTGATGTTACCAGGGACACAAGACAGAGGCTGTAAATAATATACAGTCAGTATGTTCCACAGATCAGAAAGAAAATTAAACAACCTCTATCATTCTCAGCACACCTCACCCCCGCCCGCCCCCCCCCCACCCCCCACAGTGAGGTCAGTATAACAACCAACACCTGCACAGAATAACACTCTGCCAATCCTGCATTTATTGATTTGCTTGTGACTTAATTATTTAGTTTCTTTGACAGGTCAGTAATCAAGTTCCTATATAAATTTTATGTTTTGACATGTCCGGTCTCTGACACCATGTTTCCCCCTCCTCTAAGGTAACACGAATCTTTGATCCCGGGCCGTGCACTTGCCTTCACATTGTAAGTCATTCCATAAGAGTGTCTGCCAAATAAAAGCAATGTGATATAATGGAAAAGTAATGTAATGTCCCTTGACTCATTATTGAAATCTCTGTGGTGATCCGGTTAAATTATCTCTAAATTACCCAAAACCTCTTCTTTAGAATGAGTCCATGGGCCTCTGCTTTGCTCTGCACTGCTTCCAGTGACTATCAAAACAGGAAATGCACTCCTCCTGACACAATCGCCTAGGTCTGTCGCTCTTAACTGGTGGGTCGCGTTTTGATTGGGTCGTAGAGTGAGTGGTTAAAAAAAAGTATTTCTACTACATAGCCCTACTTTTACTTACTGCATACTTCTATGGATTTTTATTTTTAGTTGTTTATAATTTGTGTTTTTTAACAGCCCATGAAGGTATTGCGCATCCAATTATTGAACTATTTTGTGAAATAAATCTGAGTGGTTCAAAATTTTAAATATTTGGGTTGCAACTTGATGAACAATTTGGGTCCTAAGGCGAGACCCGTTGAGAGCCGCTGGCCTAGGGAAGGAGATGTCAGTGGCCTATTCGGTCTGCTGTGAAGCTGCTGGAGGGTCTTTGTGCAGCCGCACCGTTCACCGTTACCGTGAAAGCAGCTGGCACAACTTAGGGTGGCCATGGCCATGTGACCTCTACCTCAGCTGGGCGGCCATATTACATTACACTATAGTCATTTAGCTGACACCTTTATCCAAAGCCACTTACAGTTGATTGGGCTAACCAAGGGCCGATCCCCCCTGGGGGCAATGTGGGGTTAAGGGCCGTGCTCAAGGGCCCAACAGCAATGGTGTTCTTACTGTGGCTAGACCGGGGCATCAACCACCACCCGCAGGGGTCCCAAACACATTTATATGACAATGCAAGAGCGATTGAGCGGCTGGTAAAAATGGCAGTTCCCCCAGATCGCTCATAAGGTGAGCTGTGAGCAATCGCAAAGGCTGATGGAGTCCAACGTGAGAGTCGATCGCTTGCTAACGCATTCGCAGGTAGGCTAATGAACCTTGGGGACCCGGAGGAACGCACCAAACTAGTTCCATCCCGGAATCCCTATTCTTCATTCTGACACTGGCGGAAAATGACTGCAATCACGGAAATGAGGGGATAGATGCACTCTGAATGCTAAAAGCTCATCGACGGGTCTGTCTTTCTCTTCGTGCGCAGCACTCTGTACAGGGAGCCAGGACGTGAGCCTCAAAGGTGATGAATAGAGGTGGAAAAGGTAAGACGAATAAAGAGCAAGAGAAATCCTCAGTAATCAGGTGGCAGGAGACAGTATATTTAAGGTTTTTAGCGTGATGACCTTATCCATTGCAACTTACAAAGCTCACATGTCTAGAAAGTATCCACATGCATAGCTCAGTATTTACTGAGGAAATTCAAGTGAGGTAGTTCATGCAAGGCTATAACTATGTGACTGGACAATTGAACCAGCAACCTTTGGGTTACAAGCCCAGTTCCCTACCAATTATACTACACAGCTGCACACTGTTGTTTCAAGGACCCAGTTTTGAGTGCTTATTTTAACGTAGAAAAACATTGGGATTAGTCAAGTGTGCATTTAAGAGCAACTGAAGTCTTTATCAAATGTAATACTTTCCATTTTCATTGCTATTATAGTTAAGTCCCATACGTCTGAGCAGGTTCAGGTATGTCAGATATGCAGAAAATAGGGACAATGAAAAGCAAGAATGGCAGCCAAAGCAGAAACATTGATTGCACAATTAATTAATCGCAATACAACAGTCTGAAAACATTTTAAAATGTTCACTTGGAGTTATTAAATAAATTTGATAAAAAGGCAATTTCATAACTTTCTTCATTTTAACTTTCCTCAGCTTAACTCAGTTCAGGAAATGACAACAATAAAGGATTTTAAGGATGTGCGATTCAGCCTAGCGTTCAGTGTCTGACCCTTAAGGCGAAATGTATTGTCTCTTCTGCCTAATATCTTTTGTCAGTCATGGTGGCCTTTCGCAAGCCGAAGTGTCTGAGATTTCCTATTTCTGGTCACTCTCTTCTCCTGAAGAGAAAAGAGTTCTCATTTTTCTCTCTGTATAGATCATAACCCATTTCCTCCCTACCACAACAACATTTTCAGTCTACTAAGCTTCCCATCATGCGCTGCTTCCTGTTCAGTCCGTGAATGATCACCTCAATAAACATTGCTATCTGTCTCTTCGGATTGTTTTGGTAGCGGGGGAATTTTGTTTTGCAAAACCGCGCCTGATTATTTATGCTATGTAGAAATGCAGTCGGAGGCAGTTTGACAGTTTGACAGTTGTGTAATTTGGGAATTATTCTTTTTTTCCCATTGTGAATAAATTGCCGTTTGAGCGTTAATTCTGTAGTAGGAAGACAGCATTGAAATCTTTCTGATGTTGGGTGTGTGGAGGATGGATATGTAGGATTATACTGCACTGATTATATTTACAGACGTTTCAAATCTATTTCAAGCTCCGGCAGGAGAGATGAGGTAAAAATACTCGTCCTTTGATGCGTGAGCTGTATATTTTCTTGAATGCGTTTTTAAGCCTTTCTGGAGGTCTTGGGTTGGCAGTAAAACTCGAGTAAAGTGTGATTTTCCCTCTCACTTTACAATTTCACATGTACTAGAAAGGAGTCACCTTAACACACTCAAAAAACAAAGATTTTAAACAGCAGCAAAAGAGGGTTTGTTTCTCGGAATCATACAAGAACCTTATTGTGCCACCATACATAACTGTTAATAAACCATTAACTAAACATTTGGTAATACAAAATTATTCTTGAATACTAAAAGGCTGGTATTGTAAATTTTCTTCAATTGTTTTATACAGTACCAAAAAAAAATGTGTTCCCTTATGACTGCAAGCAAAGCACCCCTGTAGAACCTTTTTCCCTCAGAGAATAAAAAAAAGCTGTGCTGCCTCTAAGCTGTCTCAGTGCTTATTGAATAATATTTCACTGGGTTCTCACTTTGAAAGCTCAGTGTATTGAGCAAGGTCTGACATTTGCTTCCATCTCTGGTGTCCTACCAGCGTCCATCCCTTCTGCTCCCCCAACAGCCGAACAACAGCTTCGTTTTACGTCCATCTGGCACCAGCGATTTATGTCGACCAACGCATAACGGGCGCTGGCATCTCTTGTCCCCACAGCTCATCCCGTGGACGCTGCTGGCGCAGTGAAGTTCGTTCGATTTCTCCCGTGATGGTAACGTGGATTGACGCGGAATTTTGTAGCTCACCAAGGGACGCACTCCTCAGAGCAAGGATCCGTCTCTACGGAAACAGTGGCGGGTGACATTCCCTGCATCCGGACATGGCAAGAGTTCTCAGGCATCTCGATGATGTCATGGCATCTTTGATTGCTGAACATAGTGCAGCGTTTGTGTGTCTGTGTGTACATACACATTTGTGTGCACATTTTTGTGTAGTTATATATTGACTGGTTTGCATCTTTTTTAACACTTAAATGAACTGTATGTTATAACCCTAGCCCTAACTCTAGCCCTACGTAAACACAACAGTACTAATCATTCCGTAAACATGTTATGAGATGTTTTATAAAACATGAAGATTCTGTTTTTTTGTGTAGTGCTGGTTACACAAAGCGGCTCTGTGGAGATTCTGGGCAAGACCCCTTCAGAGAAGACCTAGAGCCCAGCTCAAAGGGGGAGTCCTTCTACTTCTGACCAGAGTAAATGCAGCATTCTTCATGGTATCTTAATAATAATGATACATAACACTAACACTACTTATGTATTTCCCACTGATTTCTCATTTTTCAGTGTTAAAAAGGAAGAAGATCACCCAGGGAAAGCTGTTTCCTTCTGCGGTATTGTTGTGTTCGCAGCTTGTTTTGGGTGCTGGGGCCCTGCATGGCCACGGTTTGCTGTACTTCCAAGATTTGTGTACTAATGAACAGCCTGCGGACTGAGCTATCAAACCCAGCTCCGGTGCTGTGGGATGGCTGTGGATAGAGGAAAAGAGGGGGGTGGGGGGGGGCACACTGGCCTGGCGTATGCGCGCGCGGACAGCACTGTTTCACCCCCCTGGAGCGACACACATTTCCTCACACGCCCCTGCGAAAATACAGCTGGGCAAACAAGATACAGAAAGTGTCAGACAAAGTGTTAGAAGAAGTGAAAAGCACTGAACGAACCCCAGAGAAGGACCCTCGGTGGGAGTGGCCAATTAAAACACAGCTGTCACGGTGGAACACTGGTCCCAGGAGCACGAATACAAATCGACATCTGATCAGGTGTAGCCAGTGCTGGGTGATGACACATGCTAAAAACACAACTCAAATTATGTTGCGCTGGCCTAAATATCAGACAATGAAGAGTCAAAGATAACATGAGCTGTTCTGAAGGCATTTTAGGGGGATAGTGGGTGAGGAAATGGTGGGCATTTCACTAATTTCATTTGACCATATCGACCATATATTGAACATATTTGAACATAATCCAAAAATGTAATTTATGATATTTAAAACTGTAACTTGACACTTTTTCCAAGTCATCTGGGTTTAGTACAGCTGCTTTATTTTTGTAATCTGATAACATAATTCAGATACACACACACATATATATATGTATATATATATATATATATATGCATACACATAGTCAAAAATGATGACAAATTACAAGACACCATTCCTGGGTAGCTGATTTCTTGACATACAAGGGTTTGCCCTGCAGCATCATTGCTTCATATAAGTAATCTTCTGCTACCTCTCCCTTGGGAAGGCACAATATCAATAATTTTTTTTTTATTTAACAGGTTATTTTTAAGGGACAACACCAGAATATGTAGATGTGGGGCAAAGTGAACTTGCTTTAAGCCAAAGCTAATGTAAAGCAACAGTTCTTTGACTGATGTATGTCTTTTTATATGCCTATAGCAGTACTAATGTCTAATTAAAATGGAATTAGAGATGACTCATTGGATAAAGCAGTTTTCCATTATCTTTGAAATGCCCCGTTAATTTTTACAACTACATATTTTAAAAAAATAAATAATTATAGCTGTATAATGATCATATTTAGAAAATTGTCAGAGTTGGTACAACGTCTGTACTCTCTGAAGAGTCAGCGTGCCGCTAGCGTCTGCAGTCTGCCACTTCCTGTTGCAAAAACATACTCATTCCTTATCAGTCGGCAAAATGTGAAGTGAAAAATGTAAAATGCGACTGCATGCATTTGGAGAAACACGCATGCTTGGCTGTGGATGCTGTAGAAATTGGCTGGTGCTGACAAACACAGTTAGGGATTCAATATCAGGTTTCAGTAAACATGTCCTTTGGAATGTGCTGTTTTCATTTTTTAAAAAATGGAACAGCAAATTCCCTTAAAGAGAATTAGGTCCGTTTTGATTGATTTGTGCCCTTAAAGAGACTAAAGGGGTTTGATCGAATCCTGGAGATACATCTGTGCTAAGCACAGAAATTGTTCACATGTATTTGTGGGTGAGTGAGTGATGGAGAGGGGGAGCGGGGGCTGGGGGGTGGGGGGTGGGGGGACATTATGCAACCTCATGCGTACATCTCATCACAGGAAACAGACCCCCACCCGCCCCCCACCCCACCCCCTCCACCCCACCCGGAAGGTCTTTTGATCACTCTGTCAATTCCGGTAAACTCACACTGCAAATGGTCACACCGCTACAGCCTCCTGCCACGTCGAGTCTCGTCAACAGAGCCTCGGTGACAAGGCGACGGGTGCATGGGAAGAGAGAGAGAGAGAAAATGACCGCGGGGGCCGCGAACGGACTGCTGGCTAAATATGACCACGGCCGTATTTAGACGTCGGAAGAGGAGGCTGTCACCGAGAATCCTCAGTGCCGAGAAGAGTCGGCCGCGGACAGCTCACGCCTCGGTTTCCATTGAGGTCCGGTTAAGGTGCTGTCACAACACCTGTGGAACGGCTTCGCTCCGAAACGATGCGCCTCAGGTACACAGGTATACCCAGACACTAAGGTAACACAGCCTTTCAACATCGATTGGGCATGATCAGACACCAGGCTCTCCACCAGTCACTGTGGGAGATCAGAGACTGGCCTGCAGAGAGCCTGAAGCCCCCTAAAGCATAATCTTTCTGACACATCAGATATGCGCTACGGCGTCACTGAGTGCCAGCTATTTCTCATGTAATTACCACATTATATTACAGCCCATTTATCCTACAATACTGTAGCCTGTTTACCACAGTGTACTCTATTAAATAATATATACACTATACTCCAGCAAATTAATACAATGTACTTCAGCCAATCACCACATTACACTCCAGTTAATTATCAAACTAAACTCTAAACACAAATGCCAATCATCTCATTATACCACAGCTCTATATGTCGCTATACTCTAGATAATTATCACACCATTGCCCAGCTGAGTACATCGCTATAGTCTAGCTATCACTCAATACTCCAGATAATTTTCAAGCTGTACTCCAGGAATTAATAAGTGCTACAGTATGACTATGTATTGCACTGTACT